TGTTTTTGATTTTTTTAATCCATTCTATTATTATCATTTCTAATAACCAAATGGGTCCTTATATTGTCTCCCTTGACACATGCAGAGTTGATCATTTTTCTTGGTTGCATCCTATACTTTGTTTAAACAACAGAAACATAGCTAAATGGTGTTTACTTATTTGTTTCAGGACTGAAACTGAATATGTTAGTCAGATGCTTGCCAAAATCAAATGGTTTGCCCAGCATCATGGATACATTAGCATTAATGAGCATTATAGGCCATGAAGTATTATGCAAAAAGTGCAGTGGACCTTGAACTCCTAAAGTGTGCAAAATAAATCATAAACTTTTAAATTCATAGAAAATTACACCTTATTGTTAACTCTTTTTTACGCTGTCACTATTCACTGTGAGGCTTAATCAAATGCTTATGTGATAGACTTTTGTTGATGTGTTATTTGTTAATGAGCATCACAGACCCTATCTTAAACCCTAAACTTTAAAATTATGAGCAAATTACATTTATGTATAGAACATTGTTTATTTTTTAAATTAAATTAGCCTTAGCATAGTCAGCTGTGGTGAACACATTGTTGGTCACGGTGAACAACTCATAATTTTGTAAAATGACATTTTTTGCCCTATTTTTTTACAATGTTTTTCAAATGATTGGTATCTCGTGCTTCCATATACTCTATAACTCTGATTTAGTATTATTTTGAATCATATTGATTTATTTATGTTATCGACGAGTAGGAAACCGATAGCTGCTTGAGTCATATTGAAGGACACTATCCTTAAGAACTATTCTGACATATCAGGATGATGGATCGACAGTTCCTCAAGATTAAACAAGCACGTCCTACACAAGTAAAGTAACAGAACAACAGCACTAACAGGAAAGAAACTTAGATGAACACAGCACACAGTCAAGACAGAGGGGGGAAGAAGTGGCTCAAAAACTCTAGAGCCTGGCACCTTGTCCTATCTACACCCATACCTATATATAGGCTAAAATCATAAACATGAACGTTGGGTTTATAATCACTGGATTAAACACCATTAAGCTTCAGTTACACAAACATAAAATGCCATTAATTAAATGTCTGGAGCCATTAGGACGAATGTGCAAAGCAAAATGATTAAGAAAATCCATTTAAGAATTTTTGTTAAATGCTAAAAATGCTTGAGGTTTGAATTTAAATTTAAATCAGTCAAAAATTAAGGTTTTCTGGTAAGCTCATTTAAATAAATTATTATTTATTTTTCACAAAAATAATCTAGTAAAAGGAAGCCAATACCTCTTGAAGTCACCATAGTTTATGGTACCTTTTAAATATCTCAAGATTCTCACGAGAGTCTCCTAGTGTTTACTACTTGGACAGTGAGTATATCTGCTCAATCTGCTTACAGCATAAGCTATATTAGGCTTAGTAAAATTCATCAAATGCAACAGGCTCCTAATAATATATGTATACACTTAGATTGACCAACTAGGTTACCCTTGTGCTTTTTTAATTGCATACTTGAATCATAAGGAGTACTCAAAGGAGCATATTTAAGATGTCCAAACTTCCTGAGAATTTTCTCAGCATAATGTTCCTGGGAAAGTAAAATCTCATTATCATTTCTTATGATCTTTACACCCAAGATTACCTTGGCTTCGTCCATATCTTTCATATCAAAATTTAAAGAAAGAATTTTTTTTTCATTAATAACACACATACTGGAGCCAAAGATTGGCATGTCATCCATATATAAGCATATAATCACACACAATCATTATTCACAATCTTTGTATAAACACATCTGTCTACTTCAACAATAGAAAATCCACTAGTTGTCAAAACTAAGTTTTTTATGCTATTGCTTAGGTGCTGGTTTTAAGATATACAAAGATTTAACAAGTTTATAAACTTTATTTTCTTGCCCAAGAATCACACATCCCTCAAGTTGCACCATATAAATCTCTTCTTTCAAATCACCATTTAAAAATACTGTTTTAACATTCATTTGATAAACAAAAAGCTTGTAAATCAAAGCTAAAGTAATAAGAATTCTTGTAGAAGAAATTCTAGTCACAAGAGAAAATGTGCCAAAATAATTAATATTTTTCTTTTGAGTAAAACCCCTGACAACAAGCCTTGCTTTATATTTATCGATTGAACCATATGAAAAAAAAAATTTCTTAAAAATCCATTTATATCCAATAGCCTTAGCTCCTTGAAGCAATTCTGTTGAAACCCAAGTTTTATTTTTCCTTAAGGTATCAATTTCAATTTTAGTTGCTGCTTTCCAAAACTTAGCATTAGGAAAAGAAACAGCTTCATAAAAATTTAATGGTTTATCTTGTACCAAATAAGTATAAAAATCTTCTCCAAAACTTGTTTCTTTTCTTTGCCTTTTACTTCTCGTTAAAATCAAATTCTCATTTAAATTTTGTTTAAACTCATAATTTTTAATAGGTTTAGAAATACGCTCAAATTTCAAAAAAAAATATGTTCAAAAAATTCAGCATCCTTAGTCTCAACATTTGTGTATAATTCAATTTTAATTTGTATTTTTATATGATTAAATTTGCAAGAAAATATTTAAATTATTATTCATGAAATTATTATGCCAATTCAAATTTATTCATGAAATATCAGTATTCAGGAATTTATATTTGAGATAATGGGAGGGAATATCAAGGATCAAGGAAAGCATTTTTTTATTTTCAAAATAATAATTTTATATAATAATAGGTATTATATTTATTCAGATATATTTAATATTTTCAAAATTAAAATTTTAAATTGTGAATTAATTGAGAAATTATATTTTAATTTAGATTTTGAGATCATAGGACAGAAGTTATATTTTGAAATTGCAATCGTATAAATTGCCAAAAAAAAAATTTACTCACAAAATTCTTCTATTAATTCACAAGTTTATGATAAAATTAGTATAAAAAAATAATTCAATTCAATTTTAATTTGTCTATTTATATGATTTAATTTGCAAGAAAATCATTTAAATTATTATTCATAAAATTATTTTACCAATTTAAAATTATTCACGAACTGATAATAATCTGAAAATTATATTTGAGATCATGGGAGATAATATGAAGGATAAAGGAAAACGGTTTTTGTTGATTTTCAAATAATAATTTTATATAGGAATATGTATCATTTGTATAGATATATTTAATATTTTTAAAATTAAAATTTTTAATTGTGAATTAGTTGTGAAAATAGATTTGAGATTTTGTGGTCATAGAACAGAATTATATTTTTAAATTATAATCTTATAAATTAGAAAAAAAATTAAATTTACTGATAAAATTCTTTTTCTAGTCATGACTTGGATTGATAAAACTTATTATAAAACTTATTGAAATTTACAGACAGAAGATATATTGATTGAATTAAATTACATTTTTAAAAATTAAATTATAATTTGGGAAGTTATATATATATATATTTGAGATCATAGGGGAGAATATCACGGTAAAGGAAAACAATTTTTATCAATTTTTAAAATAATGATTTTATATAGTTAATTTCCAAGTCTAAAATTAGTAAAAAAATTAAAACTAAATATAAAAATAAATCCTACATGTCTGCATAAAATTGTAGGAATGAGAAAAAAGGACACTTATCATCATTATAGCTATGCTTGTTATTCTACTATATATAGATGGTATTAATTGCTCTTTAAATTCTATGAAATTTCTTCTATTTTGAAATATAGGACTTAGAAAAAAGAATTATATTTGTAACAAACGTAGTATTAATTATTAATTAATTATCCTTAAAATTACGTAAAATGTCTAATATATTAAAAATATATTACTTTCCCAGCAAATAAATCTTACATTTAAAACGTATGGAATATACATTATGTTCCTTGGGAGAGATAAAGTAAAAAAGACTTGATCTAAATAAAAGATAAAGTAAAAAGAAATATAAGTCTCATGAACAATATCATTCTCTATCTTTTTTCATATCATATGATGTCCTTTATGTTTCCCATCTTGCCTTCTCAATTTAGAAATCTTGGAAGTTACAAAATTGGATAGAATCATTTGTCCTGCAAAAAGCAACGCTCATATCATATATTCCCATGTGTTCCACGAATTAATACAGACAGTTATGTTTTTTTTTTCTTTATGGCCAAATCCACACAAATAGAAAATGTTTCTCTTAGTATTATTCGAGAGAATAGTTCTATTGAAGAGAACTTTCACTTTGATATTTTCGAGAGAAATTCTCTTGACTATTTTTGGAAGAACTTTCTCTTAGATATTTTTAAGAGAAGTTCTCTCGAAATTATTTGAGAGAAGTGTGTTCTCTCAAAATTGTTCAAGAGAATAAACTTCACTTAAATTTTTTTGAGAGAACATAATTTTACTCTCATTTTTTTAGAGAATTTTTAAGAGAATTGTCATTTCTCTCAAATTTTGCACGTTTTTGTTGAAAAATTATGTTGAGAATTTTTTTTTGGTAGTGTTTTAGGAAAGAATGAGAAAAATTTATCTATTTTGAAAGAAGATAAAAATCAAATATATATAGGACATTGTTCATGATATAATTATATTATATACTTAACTGCTGTTATTTAATATAATAATCAAATTTGAAAATTGGCCTGAAATATTTGTAGGAATATAATTGAAGACATAAATTTAAAGTTTGTCACATTTTAAATTAATTTTATTAAAAACAATATTTTTAAGTTTTTATAAGTGTAAAAAATTATAATATATATAATATGTTTTTAATTATATTCATAATTGAAAATAACATCAAATATATGTATATATTTTGATTTTTGACAATTTAATATTGCTTATGTGTAATTAAGTAATAGATGATTTATTGCTCATATAAAGATTTCAATGCTTTAAAACTCCACTGATGACAAAAAAAGGCTACTGCAAATAATATATGAAGCCCATAAAATGTTGACATATATGATATCCATATTCTTTGAAGGTAAGCGATCTGGAATATCAAAGGGTGGGACCCTCCAAAATGTAAGCTTCAAGTTATTGATTAGATTATAACAGGAGATTTCAATACGTAGTAGTAAAATTTGAAATGATACAAACATGGAAAAAGAAAAAATAGCACAGCAAGGAAATCATAATTTCAAATTACTTAAATTAGCTAGAGTTGTTGATAACAAAACAAAGTTCTTGTCAAACAGTTGTGAGAATCATGGAAAAGTGATAACAATTTCAAATAAGCAGCTTTCCAGATTCTCTATTACTGGACCGGGGAGTATTGTTGAAAACAGCTATGAAAAGATCGGTGCAAATGGGTAATAGGATGATGACAGTGAAATAAATAGACAAGATGGTGAAAACATAAAGTGAATAAACATGCTGCTTGAGGATGTCCTTGAGCAAAAAGAAGAATGCAGCAGAGAAAGAGGCGGATATGGAAACGATGGACATGAAGAGGAAACTCAACCCTAAAAGAAGTTTGAAAGGCAAATCTTTGTGAAAATCTCGAGGTTGCTGTTGGGAAAAGAGGATGGAGAGGAAAAAGATGAGAAAGGTGATGGAGCAGCTGAAAGCCAACAGAGAGGTGAGCGAAAACAATTTGAAAGCTGGATGATGTTCTAGGTAAGGTTTGCCGGTCACGTTCTCAGCACCACCAGGGATGGTGATAGACGCTGTGAAGGCCACACTGGCAATAAGTGCGGCCACGACGGAGCAAGACCCCGACGTGCTCTTGAGCCATTCAACGCCTTCTTTGATTAAATTCTTGTGATCTCTTTCGAAAATTTCTTCTGGTGTCTCCCCTCTACGATTGCAGAGGAATTGCAAGTGGCGCGGCACTTTTTTCTGCATGTACTACAAATGGAAGAAAACTTTCATCAATTTATTATTTATACATGCATGACATGAAATGATTGATTTAATTTGGCTAAGGAGAGGGGGAAACGACACTAGAAAACAATAAATTTAAGACAGATTTGTGATTGGCAAAATAGATTTGTGATGGAAAACGTGGAATTTTGTCACAAAAAATGATAAGAAATACCAGTAGGAAAAGTGCTTTTTAAACTAGTTAAGCCTTTCTAAACCGGTTATCAAGACAATCCAGTCTAGAAAGTAATTAAAAATTTATTTTTTTTTAAAAAAATAAAAGCCTTTCTAAACTACTTGTCAACAAAACCAGTTTAGAAAGTTTAAAACAATCCAGAAAAAATCAAAAAAAGTTTCCAAACCGCCGGTTATACAATTATCTAGTCTAGAAAGCATTTTAAAAAAAATTAAACGTTTTATTTAAAAAGATCATCTTTTAGAACGATTGTATAAACAATGGGTCTAGAAATCTTTTTAAAGTCCAGCAATTCGTGATGTAGTTACGAAAATGCCACCCGTTTTATTTTCTAAACCATTGGAGGAACCAGTTTAGAAAGCTATTTTTACACGAGTGAAATAAATTCTGACAAAAGCCCTAATCTGTGTGTTGTTTTACTAAATGAGATATGTTACCAGAAGCCATTTGAGTTCCCACTGCATTTGCATGGCAGAACCACCAATATGCAAGGGCTTGCAATGTGAGAGCTTGGCAGCCAAGTGGAGGACGGTGTTGCCGTCTTTGTCTGCACGTCCCACGTGGCTTTTCCACAACATCTTATCCTTCAGGTACTCCTCCAGATGCTCAAATACATCATGTTGCTTGTTCTCCACAGTCACATGCAATACATTTTGGGCTAGCGAGTTCGTTTCGTGGATGGCCCCTGGTTCATCTTCCAGAATTTTCTTCACCATTTCCAGCACTCCATTTTTCGCTGCAATTAACAATATTGGCTCATTTCTCCCCCCTTCATTTTCCTTCTCTTCATCACACCCTCCAAATGAAATTTCAGGAAATTTTCCTGTTAAAACAAGACATTAAAGATTTTAAGTTTTTATAAAAAGATATTAAAATAAACGAAACTATTAAAAATATAGAACTTCACATATGCATGAATCTGAAATTCAAAGGATTTAAGTCCACGGGTTATTTATAACATTATTAATTTATAAATATATAAAAACCCACGGATGTAATGACAAATGAAAAATATATATATATATATATTTTTTTAAATCATAAAAAATAATTAATAAATATTTAAAATAATTAATCCTTTATTTTGTTGATCAATGCAATAAAGAATAAGTCTAGTTTGGATAACATCACGGCCACGAGCCCAAAAAAATAAAGGTCGCCATTGGATCTCTCATTAACTGTTGCACATACCTTTTTCTTTTGGGGGGGGGGGAAGTAGCAATAAAAATAAAAAAAAATAAAAAAGATACAAACTAAGTGCAATTTGTATACCATTAATAATCAATTTTAGAGGTCAAAATCATGATTTTGTAAAAATATATATAAAGAGAAATTTGAATATAATTTTATAAAACCATAACTTATTTAAGAAGTATAATTCACTCTTTTTCTCTAAATCATTTTTATTTAAACTATGCTGACTAATTTCTCCCCCATTCATTTTCCTCCTCTTCACGCCCTACAAGTTAATCCAATCAATATTAATCCAATTAAAACTTAAGAATTACATGTACTAGAAAAAATACATATATAAATGTGATTTTTATAAAAAATATTTTTTTTAAAAGAAAATCCCAGCCTGTTAGAAAACAGGCCATTTTAACCTGCCTGTTTTTTCAACTCAATTATTTGCTGAGTAAGAGAGTGAGCAATATTTCTATTACCAATATTAAAGTGTTGCCATCTATCCATAATCAATAGTAGTGATATTTATTTTGAGGCTATTTTATTTTCTTGAATGTAATAATTGTTTGTTAATTAGAAACAATAAGTTTAGTTTGGATAACAACCCAAGGACCGCAATCCCCAAAAGTTCTTGAAGGTCGACACTGGATATGATCTACCCATTAATGTTGGGCATAACTTATTTAATAAGAAGTATATATGCTATAGTATATAATTCACTTTTTCAATCAATAAACCATTTTGCTGGGTATCTCTTGAATGGGATATTCAAAAGCTAGAACTTATCAGGGGAAAATCAACTCATTTAAATAACTAGCTCATTAAGCATTTCATTCTACTCAGCGTGAAACTCAACGTGTGTGTAAAGAACGGTTAAAAAAAAAAAAACCAAGGAAAGATCAATATCTCCATGAGATATAATGATGGGTGGGTCAAGAGCGAGAAACCTTTTGGGTCATCGGTCTCAGGAGGAGGTCTGCGCATCACCAAGGCTTTGACACGACCTCCAACATATGCTACATCTTTATACTTCCAAAGTGCATCCAGTGTTTGAGCGCACCAAACGTGCTTTTGTTTCTTCTCCCTCAATGTCTTTATTTCCTCTAATCCTTGATTAATATATATATATAAACCTAATTAATTAAGCACAAGTGCGTATAACAGAATTAAAAGCACCATCAATTTTTTATTAGCACAAGCTAAGCTTTTTGTTAGGTAACTAGGTAGAGAACGAGAGTGTACGTACGTACCTTGGGGTCCCAACAACACAAGTCCACATAGCAAAACCAAAGAGCTGATTGCAGCCATGAATGCAGTCATGAAAATGTCACAACATGTCCAATAATTTTTGGAACAACATTTTCATAGCCAGTGATGTAATCACTTGCTGGGTTTTCTATATCCACAGTACTTCCGGGAAGAGCTACGACAAAACATGAACTTTGCTTGATTTTCAGATCATAATTATAAAGCAGAATTAAGCTAAACAAATAAAATACTTTCTTTTCATAAGCATGAACTTGCCAGTCTGCTGGGATTTTGACTGATGGCTGGTGCTCCTCAACGGTTTCACGTGTATAACTTCCGCATGAAAAAGGAAAATATATAGCAATAATTACTCCCTCCATTCTATTTTAGGCCAAAATAGACAAGAGTTGGATTTTATTATTTATAAAACAATACAATTTACAAAATTTGGGTAGTAATTAAATATAATTTTTCAAAAATACCCTTATAAAAATAATGGCCTTAGTTGATAATTAAGAGAGTGGGTGAGAAAGATTTAATTAAGGGCATTTTCGGAACAGAGGGAGTATGATTAAGTGGAGCATACATGCGTACTAATGATGAAGAGGTCAAGTATGTCTTATTTATAGGATAAAAAGACAAAATTAATTTTGATCATATGTATAGGGTACTTAATTTCTATGTTCATTTAGAATTTATGCTCTCATTAAATGTTAGGAAAAATTGTTAAAAATAATTTTGTTTATCCTTATTAGGAGAAAGAGGTAAAAACTTGTTAAATTTTAAGACAGAATTAATAAGGCTTAAGGTTTTCTCATATTCTAATAAAAAATGCAGCAAATGACTCAAACAGAACTAAATGGAGTACTTACCCTTGTATGCCAACTTGGCATACCATCTAAAATTGCTGATGCTGCTTTCGAAGGCAGAAGGTTTGTCGGCTAGGATATGGAGAGGGCTAATACTCTTTTCATCCATGGAGCCCACAATGTCCTTCTTGAACGTATGAATGATTTCAAATGCCAACTCTGCAGTGAATAGAATAATTCACGGGAGCAAGAATTAATTAAGTAAAGGCATCAATAAATAAATCATTAATTAGTTTGTAAATTTATAACAGGTCCGCCTCCTACTATTACTTTGGACTAAAATTTCGTGGTATTTAAACTTCACGATGAACAATTTTAAAAATAAATATAATAATTTTTTTTTTGAAATTTATAATTTTATTTATAAATAAAAAAGACACTCGGTAATTTTTCTTATATTTGAGAAGGGGAGTAAAATTTACGCACCAAAGTAGTCTCGGTAGAGGGTGCAATGAAGGACTGTCTGGCCATCGCTTGCTCTTCTGCATGGCCCAAGCGACTTGTCGGCGCAACGATCTTTGAGGTAAAAGAAAACATCCATATGTCCATTTAAAGCAGCCAAGAACAGAGGAGTCTCTCCATTATTGTTCCGTTCTTCAATCAACACGTGTCCTTGATGACGATGGTGATCAGCTTCAACGATGCACTCACACATCTGGAGCGACCCTATGGATGCTGCTCGATGCAACGCTGTGTCACCTTCAACATTCTTTGTTTTCAAACTCTCCACCGCCCCCGACGTCTGCTTAATTTCATCCACCAGCTGCTTAACTGTGATAGCATTGTTCTCGTTCGCCGCCACGTGCAACGCCGTGTCTTTATCACTGTTGACGGGCATCTTGTGAATCGTTGCGTTGTCTTTGTATGCCGTCACCACTTCACTCCATTCACCATGGAACGTCGATCGGTATAAATCCATCCCCGTCATCGAAACAAGTTGAATATCCATCGATGAATCCATGTGTTGCATTTTGCAGCAATGCGAGAATTACTGGCAAAACTCTCGTGGTCGTGTGTGGGCAGTCACCTTGGTGCGTGGTAGCCTTTTATACGTGATTAACTACCAAAATCATGTCCCTTATGTCTGAAAAAGCACAGAGCAGGAACCTCTGGGAAGCAATGCCAGTAGGGCCAGGGTCCCAGTAGAATCATTTTATTCCAGTAAAACTCTAATAAATTTTAAAATATAAAGTAAGTCCCTTAGATGTGAACTGGTATTTTTAAATATAAAGTCAAGTCACAACAAATTTGGGAGAAAAAAAAATCACAAAATAGAAAAATATTTCAAATTTAGGGGACAAATTTTTAATTGTGTCGTCTTGAATCTGCAAACTCACTTTTCCGATTTTAACATGGTACAAAAATTTTAATGATTAAATTTAAAAAATAACATGTCATCATCTAATAACTTTAAGGAACTTGCAACTTAATTTGTCTTGTTAAATTTGCAACTCATTTTTTTAACTTTAAAACTAGGAAAAGATTACATTATGTAAAAAATACTAGTTAAGGATCTAAGGGACTTATTTTATATTTTCAAATTTGTTACGGCTTTACCTGAATAAAATAATAATGCTTTTTGAACTTAAATGCCATCCTTCCATGACAATAATATCACCTTTCCTTGTATGGAAGGGCAAAGTATTATTATCTTTTGCTTTTTAATTAATCTCAATTTTGTTATTTGTGTTGTGGAACACGTTGTCTACCAGTTCAAATCAGACGAGCAACCCAAAAAAACATAAAAATCCATTTTTTTGTTCTCAACTTTGTCATCTGTTTTAAGTCAGTCGATGTATTATCGATCATATATACCTTGGACATATTCTGAATTTCTGATGAACAGCTGCTAGCGACACTCAGAGGGATGAAGTCTAGAAAACTTATTTGATTTGGAGGTAAAATTCATGACATACATTAATATACTATTTCGTTTTTAAATATAAGAAAAAAATAACCAACTCATTTAGTTTAAAAAAATTAGTTAAACATAATAATTGTGTCTAGAATTAAAAAATTTGGATTAAATTAATGAAACAAATTTGTCTCGTGAAAATGAACATTGATTTTATGAGGGGAAATTTGAAAAAAAAATGTTATAAATGTTAGAAGAAAATTATCTCCATATATAATTAAGTTCCTGACTGATTGCCTCCACAATAAATCAAGAACATTAAGTTTTGTCCAAAACAAAACCATATGTGCAGTAGTATATAACAAAAAAGAACGAATATACTAGATCAATTACTAGATTAAATTAGCTTATTTAGAGAAGGACAAATAAATAAATATATAGCTAGGTGGAGCCGGACAGAGTTAATAACTCAAATAAATAAATTAAAGTTTAATAGTAAATAAAATGTACCAAATGCTAAAAATCCATAAATTCATATCTAGCCTGCACAATTTAAAGTTTAATAATAAATAAAAAGTAACAAAAGCTAAAAAGCCATAAATTCATATCAAGCCTTCACACTTCAGCAATCTTGAGAGTTACAAAATTGGATAGAACTACTTGTCCTGCGAAAGGCAACACTCATATCATTTATTCCCATGTGTTCCACGAATTAAATACAGATAGATATATTTTATTTTCTTTGTGGCCGAAGACTACAGAGAGAAACAAACTTACTTGAATCCACACAAGTATTTTATCGGTTTAATTTAAGAGAAAATTGGTGAAAATAATCTAGTTGGAAGCAAAATTAATCAAAGGGACCAAATGTACTTGAAGAACCAAGGCAAATATTTTATTTATTAAATAATTTGAACAAATAACTAAATGCCCCTTTGTGTTAATAATCTTTTTTTTTTTAAAAAAAAGCACAAAATTTGATTGTTGGAGCTCCAGTCCCTCCTCCAACAGTGACAATACACTTGCCAGAGCTCTAGATAGCAAGTGAAGGGTCATTGGAACCAACACCACTTGATTGCATGTAATCATTAAGCATTACATGTAAATTCAACAACTAGAGGGTGCAAGGATTTTAATTTAGGGGACAAAGGCTTTGGCTTGAGTGCAAGGCTTTTGGCTTAAGATGCAAGGGTATGGCTTGGGTGTAAAGCTTTTGAGCTAAGGTGCAAGACTTGTGGCTAGGGTGTAAGGCTTCTGACTTGAGGTGCAAAGGGTATAGCTTAAGTGCAAGGCTTTTAACTTGAGGTGCAAAGGTTATAACTTAGGTGTAAGGCTTCTGATTTGAGGTGTAAGGGTTATGGCTTAGGGTGCAAAGGGTATGGCTTAGGTGAAAGGGGTTTGGCTGAGGTGCAAAGCTGCTGATTTGAGGTGCAAGGGTTATGACTGAGGTGCAAGATTTCTAGCTTAAGGTACAAGGCTTCTGGCTTGAGTGCAAGAGAGATGCTTAGAGTGCAAGGCTTCTAGCTTAGGGTACATATGTTATGGCTTAAGATGCAAGGCTTTTACCTTGTGTTATAGCAATGTCATTTTCATGTAATATGTAGTCATTTTCATAATCTGCTAGAAATTACATGTCAATTATTTCTCAAGCATGCTTGCAAATTTTTTCCCATGTCTATTTACATGTGTAATCAATGGTGATTTACATCTAAATCCGAGGCACTAACAGGGGTGTCTTCTCTGTGTGATTGATTTACATATAATTCGTTGGAGATTACATATAAATTATTCCTCAAGCATGCTTGCGAATTTTTTCCCATATTCATCTCATATCAATAATTATGAGATGAAGAAAAGACTACTCCATAAAATGGTTTACCAAAATTTATTTATGCCTCCAATAAGATGATTAGACTAAAATTTGTGACAACAAGATTTTCTATTTAAATATGCACATTTTCAATTGCAGCACTTAAATGCATCAAACCAATAAAGTATTGTGAAACTTCTAGTCTATTTCATACATAGACTAAAAATATTCCCTTTGAGATTGTGCAACTGCTACCTTTTACCTTCGTCAATCTCAGTCTCGCAATCTCACAGCCTTCAACTTTTAGTCTCTATCCCATTCATTTCTAACCCCAATGAATCGCACATGAAGCTCGAGAGAATCAATTAAGAGCTAAGTTGGTAGAAAATAAGAAATTTTTAAAGAGATGATGGCTCAATTTAAGTCCTTGACCAACGAATGCATTTTAAATACGTATACACCTATAATTGAAGATCAAGGAAGTGATGAGTCTGATGGTGATGATTAACAGTCTATGAATTTATTATGACTTTAATTTGGATTACTTATAAACTTGTTTATTTTAGATATATTTTCATGATCAGTTATATTTGTTGTTGCATTGGTGCTGTTACTAGTATTTGAAATTGTCCCTGTAATAGGAAAGGGGTTGACAAGAAACAAAATTTGACATTAATTTGATTTGCCAATTTCTCATGGAATTCTTTTGAAAGTTTACATGAGAACTATTTTCACTCGAAAGAAAAATACCTGAATCTACATTTCCATTTTTTCATTTCTCTCAAAATTTTTTGAGATAAAATAGTTCTCACAGAACTTTTCGAGAGAAACTTACCAAACACTGACACAATCCGTTCGTTCATTTCTCTCAAATATGTTTGTGGGAAATTTTTTCACACAATTTTTTCTAGAGTCATTCTCTCAAATAGTTGCAAGAGAAAGTGTTTCTCTCATTATTATTTGGGAGAATAGCTCTCTTCGAGAGAACTGTCTCTTTATATTTTCAGAGAAGTTCTCTTACCTATTTTGGAAAATTAGATGTTTTTAAGAGAAGTTCTCTTGAAATAGTCCGAAAAGAATGTGTTCTCTCAAAATTGTTCAAGAGAATAAACTTGACTTGAAAATTTTTGAGATAACATAATTTTACCTACGAGATTTTACTCTCTTTTTTCTCAGGAAAGAATGAGAAAAATTCATCTCTTTTGAAAGAAGATGAAAATCAAATAATATATAACATATTGTTCATGATATGATATGATACAATTTTATAATTGCATTATATATTTAATTGTTGTTATTTAATATAATAATCAAATTTGAAAATTGGACTAAAATATTTGTAGGAATATAATTGAAGGCTTAAATTTAAAATTTGATACATTTTAAATTAATTTTATTAAAAAATAATATTTTTAAGTTTCTATGAATATAAAAAATTATAATATATATAATATTTTTTTAATTATATTAATAATTGAAAATAACATCAAATGTATGTATATGTTTTGAGTTTTAACAATTTAATATTGCTTCATATATAAACACATACTTGTGTAATTAAATAATGTATAATTAATTTCTCATATAAAGATTTCAATGCTTTAAACTCCACTGACTGCTAATAATATCTGAAGCCATAAAATGTTGACATATGATATATATCCATATTCTAAGAAGGTAGCGATTTGCAATATCAAAGGGTGGGACTCTCCAAAATCTAAGCTTCAAGTTATTGATTAGATTATAACAGAAGATTTTAATACACAATAGTAAAATTTGAAACGATACAAATATGAAAAAAGTAATAATAAAACAGTGCAGCAATGGAATCATAATTTGAAATGACTTAAAGTAGCTAGAGTTGGTAACAAAACAGAGTTCTTGTCAAATAGTTGTGAGAATCATGGAAAGGTGATAAGAATTTCAAATACGCAGCTTTCCACCAGATTCTCTATTACCGGATTGGGGAATTTTGATGGAAACAGCTTTGAAAAGATCGGTGCAAAGGGGTAACAGGATGACGCCGGTGAAATAAATAGACGAGATGGTGAAAACATAGAGTGAAAAAACATCCTGCTTGAGGATGTCCTTGAGCAAAAAGAAGAATGCAGCAGAGAAAGAGACGGATATGGAAACGATGGACATGAAGAGGAAACTCAACCCAAAAGAAGTTTGAAAGGCAAATCTTTGTGAAAATCTCGAGGTTGCTGGCGGGAAGTGAGGATGGAGAGGAACAAGATGAGAGAGGTGATGGAGCAGCAGAAAGCCAACAGTGAGGTGCTTGCAAACAGTTTGAAAGCTGGGTGGCGTTCTAGGTAAGGTTTGCCGGTCACCTGCTCAGTACCACCAGGGATGGTGATAGCCGTAGTGAAGGCCACACCGGCAATAAGTGCGGCCACGACGGAGCACGACTCCGACGTGCTCTTGAGCCATTCAACGCCTTCTTTGATTAAATCCTTGTGATCTGTTGCAAAAGTATCTGCTGGTGTTTGCTGATTCCTATTGCAGAGGAATTGCATTTTGTGCGGCACTTTTTTCTTCATATACTACAAAATGGAAGAAAACTTTCATCAATTTATACATGCATGACATAAATGATTGATTCAATTTGGTTGAGGAGGAGGAGGAAATAACACTAGAAAACAAGAAATTTAGGACAGATTTGTAATCGGCAAATTTTTTTGTCACAAATCATTTGTGATGAAACAGGTGAATTTTTGTCACAAAAAATTGTAAGAAACACTAGTAGGAAAAGTGCTTTTTAAACCAGTGAAGCCTTTCTAAACTGGTTAATTATCAAGACAACTGATTTAGAAAGTAATTAAAAATTTAATTTCTTAAGAAAAAATAAAAGCCTTTCTAAACTGTTTGTCAACAAAATCGGTTTAGAAAGTCAAAAAAATCAAAAAAATGTTTCCAACCAGTTATACAATTATCTAGTCTAGAAAGCATTAAAAAAAGTTAAATGTTTTATTAAAGAAGATCATATTTTAGAACAGTTGTGTAAACAACCAGTCTAGAAATCTTTTTCTAAACCTGTTCTTCATGGAACCGGTTTAGAAAGTCTAATAACTCGCAATGTAGTTATGAAAATGCCACCCCCTTATTTCCTAAACCATTGGCATAGGAACCAGTTTAGAAAGCTATTTTTTCGCTAGTGAAAAAAATTCTGTCATAAGAGCACTAATCCGTGTGTTTTTTAAGTAGAATGAGATATGTTACCCGAAACCATTCGACTTCCCACTGCATGTGCATGGCAGCACCACTAATATGCATGGGCATGTAATGGGAGAGCCTGGCAGCCAAGTGGAGGATGGTGTTGCCTGCACTGTCTACGCCTCTGAGGAGTTTTTCTTGCAAGTTCTCCTTATGTGCCTCATCAGGTACTCCAAAACATGGATTTGCCTGTTTACAACTGCCACATGCAATATATTTTGGCCTTTCGAGTTGGTTTTGTACATGACAATGGCCTCTGGTTTATCTTTCAGAATTTTCTTCACTATTTCCAGCACACCATTTTCCGCTGCAATAAACAATGCTGACTCCTGTCTCTCCCTTTCATTTTTTACCATCTCTTCTACCCCTGAAAATTAATCCAATGAATATCCATGGCTCTACCTACTTACATATACAGGGGGAACAGAACACTTCAGGCTCTCTTTCTTCATCTGCTAACTCTTATAATAAATATTTTACTAGAGTTCTTAAGTTTACCAATATGCAGAGTTTCTTCCCCAAAAAATCTATAGAGAAGGTGAGAATTTCCTTTATGTTGTGAATTGTGATTTTTAGCCATAATTAATGGTAGACTTGTAGTTTGTGTTGATCTGCAGTAAAAATTTGGTTGCCAACATCTGCACTTTGTTTGGCATCACCGGCAATTGAAAAGTGCATATCATTAGTGGATCCAATTCAAAGGTGGGGGCGGATTCTATGTTCAGAAAATTCGCCCGAATTAGAGGGGAGAATGATGAATAAAGACCTTATAAAAGTAATAATGTCAAGCTAGAAATCTCTTTATAGCTAAAGTTCCCAAATTCAGTTTTTTTTTTCTCCTATGTTTCAATACTAAAATTTTTAAAAAATTTTAACTTGGCATTATTTTTTTTATGAGGCCCTTGCTTGTCATTCTCCCAAATTTAACTGTTGCCAACTTGCCATCCATGATATTTAGTGATATTACACACACTGCTTTATTGTCTTGAAGCTATTTTCTTGAATGTAATAAATTCTGGTTAGAAAGAATAAGTTAGAGAGTTCTTAAAGTTGATCACTATAGAAAGTTTCTTGACGGCCCACAATATCTATGAAGATTAGAGAAGGTGATCAGAAATACCTTGATGTTGGTGAGATTTTTTTTTTCCTGCCAATATTGTGATTTAGTTA